AATTAATATATATTTTGTTATGAATTTCATATGAAAAATGATGGTAATCAATGTACTAGTAATTAAAAATAAAATATTAAATAACTAAAAAAATTAGGGATATACTAAAAAAATATATTAATATTTATATTTAACTCATTGGTGTAAAAAAACAAATTAACAAAGAATTATTGCCAATAATTTCACTACTCTCTAAAAAATTTAGAAATAGATAAATGAAAGTTTCATTGTATATATATATTGAGAAAGAATATCTTTAATGAAATTAATAATGAAATTATTATTAAGCAATTTTAAAATATAGAAACTTGAAAAAAATAATTATAATATAAGTTTTTTTATTTTAAAAATATTTTTAAATTAATTTTACTTAATATAAGTTAAGACATTAATTGACATGAGTGAGTTAAGTCATGCATTTCATATTGATTTCATGGCTCCACCACTATGTGGGGCTCAAGATTTTAGTGTTTAGAGGGAGAAGGGTGTGAGCATAGAAGAAGCTGAGAGGTTCATAAGGAGAAATGACAGCAATGGTGGTGGTGGTTGGGTTTAAAGAGAGTGAAAATAATGATGGAGGCAATCGGCTGGGTGGTTGTGGGTGAAGATCAGAGGATGAAATTGAAATCTTTAAAGAAAATAAAACCAGAAGTAATAAAGGACCTTCGCCTCTCCTGAACTCCAAAATGCTTAAAAAAAAAGGAAAGTAATGATATTAAAATCCAAAAAATAAAAATGATGTTTTTATTCAGCACCATTGCAACTCAAACTAGCCTAGAACAATAGGACTATCTCAAGAAAAAAAAAACCCAGTAGAATTGGAACTCTCTGTGCTTGAGATTTTATATAATAGAAACGTGAAAGATCAGATAGAAAGTAGAAGATGGCTCCGAGCAAATTGCTGGTTGCAAGATGCATAACTCTTTTATAGGTTTAACGATAGCTTCGGTAGAGTGGGCTGTACATGCAACTCTCTGCATATTTGACGAGATCTTTGGGACGAGGGAGACGAGATGCCAGACCTGTAAAGCAGTTAGCCTAATTAGCAATGCAGGACATTGCAAGTATGAAAGAGCTTCTCGACCAGAAAGAAGCTTACCGAGTTCATATGCTTTAGCAGCAACCTTAGCAGCAATGTCGGCTGATATCTTCCGAATGTTGGAAAATGGTGGGTAAATTAGCACCTTGTCAAGATTTTCTTGTTTTACTTGTTCAGCCAAAGCTTCAGCTGTTGCAAAAAGAATTAGCATGTGTTAAACCATGATGGACCTAGCCTTGTTTCTTAGTTCTTACAGATTTTTTTGTGCAGAGTTTGACTTTAGTGCCCAAATGATATGCAATGATCCTACACAGAACTTGTAATTTGTGCACATAAGATTTAACTCAACAGTCCATGATACTTACAAGCTGCCAGAAGCATGTCATCATGCACACGAATTGCACCGGAGATGACCAAACCCAATCCAAATCCAGGGAAAATATAAGCATTGTTTGCCTGGATAATTTGAAGAAGCAAGCCACCAGTTGTAGTAAATTGCTAGTAAAGAGAACGATTTCTAGTAACAACAGGTAAAAAGGTTAAAACCTGGCCAGGCACAAAAACTCTGCTGTTATATTCAACAGGATCAAATGGGCTTCCGCTGGCAAAGATTGCACGACCCTGCAAGTTGGAAAACATATAGTAATCAAGAAATGAAGCAAACCAGATGAAACAATATGGGGGGAAAGCAGAAATGGTTTTCTACCTCGCTCCATGTATAAGCTTCTTCAGCTGTACATTCAGATTGTGAGGTAGGATTGGAGAGAGCAAGAATTAGCGGTTTCTGCATACCAATAATTGAGACTACGGTCAGATAAACAATGTTGATGGACGAGCAAGTGAGTGTGTCTGTGTGTGTGGGTGTGAGAGAGAGAACCTCGTTAATTGATGCCATGGCCTCAACCACCTCCTTTGTAAATGTTTTCCCAACTCCTGATGATCCTATCAAAACTGTTGGCTTGATTGCCTAAGAAGATCAGAGAGTACGGTAAGATTTCAGGAAAATGATTTGAATGGCGCGGCGCACTTAATTTGAATCCACAACCTAAAAGTTTTAACACCTTAACAGCATCTAAGAGCCCTTTGATAGGCTCATGGTCATGAGCCCATGGTTTCTTGAAGTGTTGAAGTGACCCCTTACGGGAGCTAACTATCAGTCCCTGTAACATAGCAAGACCAAAGGTTAGTACAACTGTACAAGGAAAAGGATCCAAGGCGAAATGTCAGCACAAGCTGAGGACTTCGAGCACTTTCTCACTACCTTTGAGTCTACAAGCCAAATCTTTTTGCGGGTCTCTTCAAGTGGAGCATTAGTCTGAAGGAAACAGCATGGGATTAACCATAAAGGTTAGCAAATGGAAGCAGATAATAAAAACGTTGAACCAGATGAACAGTTTATCGATACCTGTTTCGATATCTCAAGAGCGATAAGCTCAGCTATACCAGTTCCAGCCTGCAACTCCCAGAAGAAAAGAAGTAAGAATACAGTGGAAAAAAAAGGAAAAAAAAAGAAGAGCGTAGATGAAGAAATGGCTTAATAAACAAGCACAGCCATTATGCAATAGACTGATAAGTACAAACAAAAGGAAAGCTTTAACACATGGTTTCAGAGCCTGACCTCTCCAGCACCCAGGAATAAGAATGTATGATCGGCCAAGGTTCCACCAACCACTTTCAAAGCTGCAAGAAGCCCTGCTAATACCACAGATGCAGTGCCCTGCAATAAATGAAACCATTTGCAATTAGAGAAATTCCATTGAGGAGAAAACAGATTGCTAGCAACAAACTTCTTTGACATGTTACCTGTATGTCATCGTTGAAGACAAGATGAGT